AAAAAAAGACTACTTTATTGATTCCACATCCTCACTTAACTATTTTTCAATTATTAATGGAATCTCTAGTTTGACCTTTAATTTCATTCTTTTAAATCTTTCCTCTGGGGCTTCCCTGGTGGCACAGTGGTTGAGAGTCCACCTGCCGATGCAGGGGACACGGGTTCGTGCCCCGGTCCGGGCGGCTGGGCCCGTGAGCCATGGCCACTGAGCCTGCGCGTCTGAAGCCTGTGCTTCGCAACGAGAGAGACCACAACAGTGAGAGGCCCGCGTATTGCAAAAAAAAAAATCTTTCCTCTGCATCTACTGTTTCTATTAACTGATAGTCAGTGTACGAATAGTTTGTAGTATACTGTGAAAACATGAAATTTTGTTTTACAGCAAGTCAAATCCTATTGAGGGAATAGTATCCAAAATGACTATCTCTAGATCAATTAGGGACCATGTCAATTAGCCTGAAAAGTTTAAGCAGCCAGTAAGAGACCATGAGGTATCCATATTTGGTTTCAATAAATCGGGAAAATTTTTCTACAAGAAAGGCCAAACTAAAATAATCAAGGTTGACTGTCCAATCAACTAAACAGTAAGTTGGCCAAGACCTAATTCAGTGGAAATGATAACAGAAAAAATTACCTTGTTAACCTGAAAGGGCATAACCAGTATTAGCAACTAAGGATTTGTTAGATTTGGTTGATAAGAGTGTGAGGGCCAAAAATAGATTAGGATTAAAAGAAAGAGTCAGAGGAGGAGTAGTGTGATTTCTGGTTCTTATTACCTTCTGGGGTGAAATAACAAAGATTATGAGGCATGGGTGTTGGGGAGGCTATAAGTGTTGATGATACTGAAGTAGACTCTTCTTAGAGACAAGCTAAGAAGGAGAGAAGGAAGAAAGGGATAGAGGTTGCAACAATTCCAGCATCTCCACAGAGCAAGCTTTTCTTCTGAAAGCTCGAATATTAGCTATATTTAACAAAAGGCATATTGAAATTACCCTAGACACTATACCTAAAATGAAAACAAAAGCCCAAGGCATGTTTCATTTTTAAGGATGTTTAAAAAAAATTAACATTTGCTCAAGAGAACAAGAAATAGTTCCAACAGTACATAAGGGAAATGAAACTCCTTTGCCTTCTAACTACTACAACTAGGTAGCCACACAGGTAGCCAAAAGTGTTGTGTGAAACCTTCTAGAAATTTTACATATGCTAAAAATAGCACTGTGAAACTAGTTTTAACATATTCCAAACAACTAGTTGTTTTTTAGTTAAAATTTTGTGTAATTTCCTAAACATTCCACTTTAGTTATTCCTTAAAAACCCTAACTTTCATAAAACCTACATTTTATATCTTTAAATCAAACATTAAAATAAAAAGCATGGAGGTATTTCTGTTAGACTACAAACTTTTGAGAAAGTAGGATAATTCCTCTTTAGAAAGAGATTCCTAAACTAATATGGCTAGCCACTTCTATGGTAAATGTTTAAGGAAAAAATTATCAAATAATATATTCTTTGATCACAGTTGATAAAAAAAATTAAAAGTGTAAAATATAAATAAAAACTGAGATTTAATCAACTTCTATCACCTCTCCATCCTTATTTTGAGAAAATAAAACTCACATCTCACTGTTTCCGGGAAATTTCCCTCACACCCCACACCAAAACAGATAATCTGAAAAAGAAAACTAACAGTCACATTGAAAAAAAAGTTTGCATATTAAAATATGAGAGAGTATCAAGGAAGCCAAAACTAACACATGTGACCACACTATAAAAAAGGAACCTGAGCAATGATGTAAGATTCAGAAAGTGCTTAAGAATTCTCTCTACTCATTTATGAAGTGGCAAGAAAGCCTTCCTGCAAAAAGCAAAAAGCTCCAGAAATATCTTGAATCACATGGAAAAGAAATGATGTTGGCCCTCACTCCAGGCCAGGCCTTCAGGGTGGTGTCACAAGCTTACTCTCAGGTGTACGTGCCATAGAAGGAGGATGGGGTGTCAACGGTTAGCTCTACTTAAAGAAAAAAAACTCAGGAAATTACAGACGATCAATTACTGGTATGATTTATGTAAGAAAGATTAATAATCAAAGAAAAGCCTTCAGCTTTAAATCAAAATACTAGTGAACAAATGAAACATAATATTACTGAATTTTAATTTATAAATGTAAAAGAATCTTTTTTAAAAAAAAGTCTTTACATTAACTGACTTATGTTTTTTTTTAAAGATCTTTTAAAAAAAATTTTTTTTGCTGTGTTGGGTCTTCGTTTCCGTGCAAGGGCTTTCTCTAGATGTGGCAAGTGGGGGCCACTCTTCATCGCGGTGCGCGGGCCTCTCAACTGACTTTTTAGATTAACTCATCAACTACTGGCTTTGATTCCAACAGATAAGAGGGCTTATACTGTACAACCTCCTATCCTCCCAATCTGTCCCACTCCCTTTCCACCTGCTCTTCAACCTCATCAAGACTTACATCCTCTTGGCCCTCTGCTATTATGCTAGTTGTCAGGCTCAACCTAGCTTTATTTCTCTCCATACCCAGCCTGCAATAGAAAGTCAATCACCTTAATTATATTCTCAGTAGCATCATCCCAACTTCCGGGCTTCCTTACCTTCCACAACACCCATCTTGCCAATTTCTAATTCATATCATCATTCCCTATTCTCAAGCCCAAGCTACCAAATGCTACGGGAGAATATACGTTAAATATGCTGGATAGTGTCATGAAAATAATTTTGAGCTCTGACTTCAATTATGATCTTGAAGTGACAAGTATTCTTTAATTTTACTTATTCCCACTTGACTCTTCTTTTTCTTTACCTAACAGCAGTCTCAAACCTCTGTTCAAGCTTTCTTTCTTCGGTTGTCCTTCCTCTCAGAGAATGATCTAATTCTTCCTTCACAGAAAAAATGGAAATGAATTGGCATAGACTTCCTCAATCTCCCACCTATCTGCATCTAAATGTTTTTATCCTTCCCTCCTATCTCAAATCAAGTAGCTAATTTGTTTCCACCCTTCCCTCTCACATTACCTCTTCTGCACAATGCTCCATCAATGATCCCTTCCTTCTCGTCTCTTTTTTCTTCTCTAACTCCTTCCTTCCATTTAAGAACACATTCCAGTCACCCCCACACATACATTCCAGAAAAAAAATTCTTAGCTCATATCCTCCTGAGATTATCACGCTAATCCTTTTTCTCCTCATACAAGAGAACCAAATATTTGTTACCTTATTCTTATTACCAAGCATTTTGGCCTCAAGAATAACCTAAAGTCACTATCTCCTTTCATTCTAGAAAGTGCTTCACATTGCCCCTCCTTCCCAACAGTCCCTGTATTTACAAGTGGACTCCACTTTGTTAGGTTGAAAGTCCTCTTAAAGTCTCAACCTAGTGGAACTCTGCTCCCTGCACTGCCAAGT